CCTTGGTATCTGAGTGATGCAGTGAGCCTCAAATACCTTGAGCAATTCCTTGGACGCTTCCTTGTACTCCTTCATTCTTCCTTCTTTTGCCTCGTACTCGCCGAATATCTGGCCAACTACTAGCTTGGAATCACACTTTACATGGATCATCCTTGCTTTGAGGTTGGCCACTAGCCGAAGGCCACAGAGGAGGGCCTCATACTCCGCTTCGTTATTGGAAACTTTGAAGGAGAAGCGGATGGCATAGTAGGCGCAGAAGCCTTCGGGTGTGATGAGGACCACTCCCCCTCCGCATACTTTTGTTGCCGAGGACCCGTTTATGTAGAGGGTCCACCATTCATCCCCTTGTGTCGAGGGCTCTTCTACCTCAGCTGACCTTGCCGTGCATTCTGTCACGAAATCTGCCAGGGCTTGGCCCTTTATGGCAGGCCTCGGACGGATTTCAATATTGTATTGGCTCAAGAAGATGGCCCACTTCACCATTCGGGAGGAGCTGGTGGGACTTCTCATCAATGCGCCGAGGGACCGGTGCATGAGGACCTGGACCGGATGGGCTTGGAAGTAATGGCTTAACTTCTTGACGGTCCAAACGATAGCTAGTACCGTCTTCTCCATGCGAGAATACCTGAGTTCTACCTCCACGAGGGTCTTGCTGACATAGAAGATGGCATGTTGGATGCCGTCTTCCTCCCGGATCAGAACCGAGCTTATGGCCGCGAGACTGACGCCCATGTAAACATATAATGTCTCTCCAGCCTTGGGCTTAGAGAGCACCGGGGGAGATTGTAAATACTCCTTCAATTCGTCGAAGGCTGCCGGACACTCCTTTGTCCATTGGAAGCCGGTGGTCATCCTCATGATCTGGAAGAAGGGGAGGGACTTTTCCGCTGATTTCGACAGGAAGCGATTGAGGGCCACCAATCGGCCTGTCAGCCTCTGCACTTCCTTCACATTGCGTGGAGGCTCCATGTTGATGATGGCCTGGATTTTCTCAGGGTTGGTGATAAAGTACGTATTACAACACACATTTGATGCGTGTTGGGATCGATTTTTTGATGTTTTCCCTAACTTTTAGGTGTCACAAATCTCAATTTTAGCTCAAGATATGTGTACCAGGTGTCGGTTCGAGTTTTGTGTTGTTTGGAGTCAAAATAAGGAATTTAGAGTCAGGCATCGACGCTTGAGGAGCAAACGGGATGATTTGAGAAGCATTCTAGAGTGAAATGAGAGCTTTGGAGGTCACCGGGAGGTTCACAATGAAGATTTGATGACAAAAGAGCTATATGATTGGCTACAGAATCAAAAGAAGACAAATAGAGCTTGAAAACCATGTTCAGGATGACCTTCTGTCAATCGTTCAAACATATATCTTTATAGAAGAATCCAAAGACACGATTCAAGTTGCATATGAAAGCCAACTTAAAGGGCTACAAATCATATGAAGACACCATTGCGAGAATTGGAGAGGAAGAAGGTGAAAACAGACGATGAAGTCAGATAATCCCTGTTGCGATTTCATAATGAGACCTTCCACCATTTTATTCATATCTCTTGATTGGATGATTCAAATCCAATTCGGCAAAATGTGGTGGATAGAGTACTTCATTATCTACAACTTTCAGGCAGGAAGTTTTGTCAAGGTCGGACTAGAGAAACGGTGAAAAACAGGCCACGCACGATCATGCCTGAAGGGACGCACGATCGTGCGTGATAGAGAAATTCGTGTGGAGCTACTGGAAGCCAGGCACGATCGTGCCTACCCCCGTGTTACGCGAAAAAATGTCCTAGTTCGGCAAGAATTCGGATTCCTCCCCCTTATATAAATAAGGCCTCCATACCCCCTTTTAGGGGTGACGAACATTACGGAGAGGCCTAGGGCCGAATTTATTTGCGTTTTTACGTTGTTTTCTTCAAGAACCCTGGAATTATTTGTAAGTTCATTCTTTTTAATTAATGACAATTATTTCTATTCTTCCCAATTCTATTGATTATTCAATTATGAGTCGGGAGTAGTTTTAATCAGGGAATCGGGATTGATGAAGCGGTTAATCACGATGTATGGCTAGTTTCTTGATGGATTAATTTCATGAATGCCATTTAATTTGTGTTTGAATAATTTAACTGATATCTTTTGTAACCTGGAACTATGACTAGAATCACAATTGCTTGTAGAATAAATTAAGAGAGATGTAGTTTATTCTGAGACACACATTCACACACACTTAATCGTTCGCTAAGAGATTAGTAGCGATTAAGGGGCCGTAAGCTTGCTCGTCTTGGAAATAATTTAGGATCTTGTCGCATGAGAGATCAGTCTCATCCCCTAAATTATTGTACTCTACGCCGCGTGAGCGGTAAGAACTTAGTAATGATTAGCTAGGCTCAATTAAATTAATTTCATTTGATTAAGCTTGATCAGCCAGAAATCTGATTACCCCGGAATCAATCCCTGCTCCCTTCGTCGTTAATTAGAGAGAAACCAATCTTTTACTTTAATCGTTCATTCGCATTAGTTTAATTTCAATTCAACCAATCAATCTCGCACGACACATTTATTTTATTTATTTTTAATCGCTGAATTTAATTAATTCTTGATTCTCTTTTGTCCGTCCCTGTGGAGACGATACTCGTACTTTTACCACTATTCTACGATCAATTTAAGTGCGAGAAAACTCACATCAGTTGGCCTCAACACCCCTTCGGCTCACCATGTAGCCCAGAAACTTGCCTCCTTGTACGCTGAAGGTACATTTCTTTCGGTTGAACCTTTTCATGATGGCGAAGATCTCCCGGAGGTCGTTGGAGTGACTTGTTGATTTTTTGCTCTTGACGATCATGTCGTCGATGTATGCCTCCATGGTACGTCCGAGTACGGCCTGGAAAACCCTCGCCACCATCCTAGTGTAGGTGGCGCCAGAGTTTTTGAGGCCGAAGGCCATTACAAGATAACAGAAGATGCCTTCGGGAGTCATGAAGGCCGTCTTCTCGGCGTCTTCCTCGTGCATGAAGATCTGGTGGTATCCGCGGAAGGCATCGAGGAATGACATGATTTCGCAGCCCGCCGTTTCATCTACCAGCTGGTCAATGTTAGGCAGAGGGAAGGGGTCCATAGGACAGGCCTTGTTAAGGTCTGTGTAGTGCACACACATCTGGAAGGTGGGTGGCTTCTTTGCTAGGACCACATTGGCCAACCATGAAGGGTATTTTACCTCCCCACTGTGTTTGATGGCGAGGAGCATGGTGACCATTTTCTTGGCGTGACTAGTGGTCACGGGGTTTGGGTTATGTTTTGTGATTTACATGGGCCTACGGGTCGACTACTTTACTTTATACTCCCTCCGTCCCATATTTAACTCCGGTTTTGACCGGGCACGGGTTTTAAGATAGTGGGATTTGTGTGGTGGAGAGTTATGCAGAGGAGAGAGAAATGTGTAAGAATGGTTGTGAACCACATATTCTTTACCAAAAAGGGAAAAAGGAGATAAATTTGGGACGGACCGAAAAGGAAAGAATGAAGATAATTCCGGGACGGAGGGAATATATAAAGTAAGTATATTTTGAAAAGGGGTAACTTGGGATTACGGCCTAGATTATATCATTACCCTATTTGAGGGTCTTGTGTTTGAAATACTTGTTGTATATCTATTAGATGCCATCCACACCAGTACTTTATAGCTGTATAGAGTACTGACCCCCTTTCGAGGGGGCATCCCACCACCATTTCAGGTTGAGGCTAGAGCTTGCTACCTGTGCTCGTTGATTGGGTGATCATCTCGGAGAGGAGACTTGGTTCGTGCTTCCTCCATTCTGTTTTTGAACATTATAAACATGCTCATGGATATTGTTTTTTTCATTATGAAGCCTGCGTGCTCGTGTTTGCCCCGTGTGACATTTGTTTTCAAACTATGTTTTCCACTGCGTATTGAATTACTTATTATGTATGTTTATGGATGACTTACGTGTGAATGATATTCGAGACGCCTTGTATAATATGGATGTGTTAGACTGTGGGTGACTATTCGTATTGTACGGTGGATTGTTGGCGTGTCCAGATAGGTCCGGGGCGTGACAATACGAGATGAAACAGAATTATGCAGAACCTTGATGGGAATACACCGGTGGTTTCCTGAATATAAACCGAAACATCGACCGTATACGAAGTACGACTAGACACCGATGCAGCGATTCCCAGCAAACCTATGTTGTTGAGTGTTTGAGAGGATGTGTGCGAGGATCGGTGAGTGCGACGATGGATGTGTGCGTGGAGTGTAGAAGGGTAGCAGACTCCGGAGAGTTCCAAAGCTGCGATAGTGTAGGGTGAGTCTGGGAGTCAAGTGAGGGAGTGTAGATAAGCTTGATATACTCCGTATACACTTGGACATAAGGATTATCGGTAGTCGGGCCAAAAATATATTGGCCGATCAAACCTATGAGTCCGGGTTTATGTTGTTCTTTTCTTATTACTTTTACTCAGCAAATATGGTCGATCAATTGCTGATTTTACATAGTTTTGTATTTGCTCCGGTCATATTTAGTTATTATTCATTTTCTATAATGCACAAATTGACTAATTTATTTGTGCTTGGTACTAAACGATAGGGAGTGATATTTTTAATTATATATATAAAGATATATACGTATGTGTCTTACAATAGAAATAAACAAAAAACTTTTTTGTGCAACGCACGGATATTATTATTATTATACGTAGTACTACCTCCGTTCTTAAATAAATGCAATACTTTGACTTTTACACTATTCACATGTTCTACTTTGACTACGTTTTATTTATTAATGTAATAATATTATTTTATGAAAAAAATATTGTTAGACTTGTCTCATTGTAAATTTTCATAATCAATTTTTTTAATTTTTTATACTAATACAAAATCATTTATATTAATGGTCAAAGTTGTGTCTCGGCAAGTGTGAAATGTTGACCGTTGCATTTATTTAAGAACGGAGGAAGTACTAGTTAATTGAAAGGAGTAAGATTAACGGTGGCTGCTTGCTACTTGCTGGTGCTCTGAATAAATTTAAGAGCCCCCAACGATACACCTCGAAGGCAGCAAGTTTAACGAAATAGTCTAAGCAATCCCCAAAATTGACTTCATGATTTACATTGCCAAAGAGAAGCACTTGAGTATATTTTCCAGAATTGCTATCTGAAAGAAACGTCAAACGGGAAAGATATGGTGAGGACCGGTAGGGTTGTCCGTGAAAAAAGCCATACCATGTCTGGGGCATTCTTTAGTGCTACGCTGTTGGCGTGGGCCGTGTGGCTGCTGTACGAGATTTGCTTGAACCATCGGACGCAGCTGTCCCCCATTCTAGCGGGCTTTTGTTTCTACCAATCCGCCAATTGGCTCATCCGCGGTTGCCTCAATCGAGACCCTCTTGTCGTCAATACCTCCGTATCTCTTCTTCACTCTTCCCTCACATCTGTCTCAGGTTCGCCTTTGCCTCTTCATATTTATAATACTACGTAATTCTTTAACTGCTAACTTGGCCTAGTGGAGAAATGAGCAATGATGGCTTGCTATTCGGTTGTAATCACTCTTCTAAAAATCCCCTTGGGCGCCGGGCTAGTCTTGCTGCCAAAGAGTTGCCCCGGCGGCCCTATTTTGGTAGGCAGGCTTTTAGTTGCCCGCTCACAGGGCTAATCAGCAGCATAGGATGTCTGGGACGTCTGTATTCATTGAACATTTGTTTACTTTTTATTTTATTTTTCTAAGTTCACTTAAGTGACAAATATGAAGAAAGTTGCTTGTTGATTAAGATTAAAACTATACAAAGTATATGTTTGTATATATTCTTAACTTTTACGTAGTATTATTATTTAATATTTAATATTTACACACAATGAAGCTAAATGATTAGTTATAATATATTACCAAATGTGTATATATGTATAAACACACACACATATAATACAAAGTATTACTTATCATATTTATGCAAAAATATTGATTAAAATATAATTTCTACGTATCCGATTAGTTCCCGCCTAGGCACTGGGCTGGTGCCTAACTAGCATCCAATGCCTTTTAGAACATTGGTTGTAATATTTGATTCTTGAGAAACTCCAATTGCAATAAGTTTTGGATAAAAGCTTATTTGGGTTGTACTTAAATTTAGGATTGGATATACAATGACAAAATTCTCAAACAACTCCCAAGTGGCCCTTTCTAGTGTACTGCCTTGCCATTGAACCAATAGTTCAACTTATAGCCTTGGCAGTCTAGGAAGTCATCAACTTCTTTCTTCTCATCTTCTATCTCGATCAAGAAAAGCTTTTTTGCATTGGTGATTCATCTTCCACTGTTCTTCACAATTATAACATAGCCCTTTTGCTCATCTTTCTTCCATTTCATCTTTCGTAGGCCGCTTAACAATTGGATTTCCTGCCCTTGTTGTCATGAGCGCTTGTCTAAGTTGTGGCAGGCTGCGCTGTTTCATATCTGTTGTACTCCAGACTTTGACAGGTGCAAGCGTCAGTGTTTGTCTTGTTTCCAATGTCCGTGCAAGGTACATTGCGTAACCCAGGTTGCATGGTTTTGCTATCTCCACATCAGCCCGTAAGTGTGGATGGATACCAGCGACAAACAAGGCAATCTGATGGTTGGACTGTATCCTTCTGAAATTGGGCACATTACTCATCAATTGATCCAATCTGCATCAGAAGTTTCAGATCTCCAATCGGGGTAGAACTCAAAGGGGCCCCAAAGCGCTCTAGACAGAAATACAGAGTTCTTTAAACCTCTCCCAATTAACTTCTCCTTCTTCCCCTATCATATAATCGAACCACAATTGTGCATCATCTATCAAGTGGAATGAGACCACATTCATCTTTGCAACACTAGGAGTTTCTTAATTCAAGAAGATTTTTTCACAGGTATCTCCGAGGTCATTGCGGTGTTCTGAACTTGTAGTGTTGATGATCTCTAGTTTTGCTTTCTCCCGAGTCCCCCACTTACTAGTCCCCCACTCTTGTACACTTAGAGAGTATGAGCTTGAGATTCTAAGTGTGGAAGAGTATGAGCCTGAGAGGGATGAGTTAGTTGTCTTTAATACTTGGTGGACTTAGAAAAATTTTGCATTTGAAAATGCTATGACGTGTAGTAACGCTGATGTGTACAAATAGGAGTTTATTAATATTCCTTTTGCCACATAGGGGACTATTAGCCGTTTTTTCGCATTTAATGCGAGACAAGGCTTTGAAAAGACTTTTCGGCGCCATCATTGCGACTTTGCACGCCCTTTGGGGAAATCCTTCAACTTTTTCGTGCGGTTAGTTCTTAGCCAGCCACGTGTCACCTTCCCGTTTTATTTTAAGGGAAGTATATGAAAGACGGGAACTTCGTCTTTCTCTCTCACGCTTTCTTGCTTCTGAATTCTCAGAGCCTTCAAGCAACTTCAGAGCTTTTTAGTTCCTTCCGGCCGGCATTTCTACGGTTCTCACCTTCGTCGTTCACTTCTAAGACAGGTTAGACCTCGGTTCTCCTTATTTCTGTTTTGTACACATCGTTTGTTCATCGGAAAACCCAGAGTAAGGGTTTTTTCGTCGAACTGGTTTTTTGGGTATTGGGGAGGGTATAACGCCCCAATGAGGTTGATACCAGTACCCCTAGACTCGGAATCACATGAGGATGTCGATTCCGTCTTTGATTTTGATTTGGGGGTCAAATTTTGGTTCCTCTGTCCCACACTTTGATTTTGCATGCTGTGTGCGTTTTTTGCAGATTTTCGAGAAAATGGTTTCTCAAAATGATTCTGCCAGCACTGGTGATAAGGTTGCTTGTAACCTCGAGCACGAGGTTTAAGATGCCGGTTCTGTGCTCAGACGTCGCTCCCCTCCGTGCCGTTAAGAAGCAAAAGGGTGGAAAGAGGAGGAGGAGCGGAGATGAAGTGGGGGTTCTTGCTGACAATGGGCCACTGGAGGCCCCCTGTGCGCTTTTCGATGATGATTGGGATGAAGCCAGACGCTTAACTGGTCCCACCGTGGACATCATTAGGCCGGATGCAGGCAGTTTCGTTTCTAGCCTCCCAGGCTTCTTCATGATCCATAAGGATGCTTTGGACCATGGGTTTCGATTCCCTCTGCATCCGTTCTTTGTGGAGTACCTGAATTGGGTGGGGTTACTTCCTTGTCAAATAACCCCCAATGGGTTACTTCCAGCCCAGCTGGTCACCGACTCACTCTCCCTTACGGGAGGTCTCGGGTTCGAAACTCAATGGAGTAAGTTTCAACATAGATTACTTCAGGCTCCCCCAGCCCCCCCCCCCCCCCCCCCCCCCCCCCCCGACGTCCCCTGGAGTAAAAAAAACCCAATGGGTTCTATCTCATCGCCGGCTTCCTAATTCGTTGTTTAGAGCTGGATATAGAGATCAGTGTTGATCTCTTCAGTCACCTATTCCAAATTGGATTCAACCCTTCGAAGAACAACCAGGGGTATGCAGCCATCTCCCAGGTCCCCGTCAAGAGTGGGTTCCACAACACCCCCACTTCCCACCATGGGTGGAAGCACATGTTCATCTTTGTCTGTACGAGCAGGGAGGAAGGGTCTCCCTTTGCAGCTTCGGGGTCCAACACATTCAACAGGCACAACATTGGGGAGTTGGGCCTGTTTGCTGATGCCGTGCAGACTTACGTAGAGTTTGGTGACAAGACTATCAAGCTGTATGCGACAGAGGAGAAGCTGGTGAGAAAGCTTGGCTTTGTTTTCTATAGCACTGTTTCTGCTGAGGACCATGGGACTCAAGTGGAGGATATGGACGTTGATGGTGCAGCCATCGAGGGACACGGTGCTGCAGCTGTTGTTGAGGAAGAGCCCTAAGGATGGGCCTGATGCTGATGATCAGGCTGGTGCCCAAGAGAGGGCTGACCTAGCCGCAGCTGTTGCAGCCTCATTGGCTGATAGATAGGGAGGTTCTGCTGCAATTCCCACTGCTTCTGAGGTGTTGGGACCTCAGAACTCAAGCGAGGAGAGGGCTTTTGCCCACATGTCTCCCCCTAGGGACGAGTCTGCCAGGGCAAGAGGGGTTGAGTTGGCCCCATACTTGTCACGGCGGTAAGTCGAGTCGTGGCGCTAGCCAACCGCCATATCGCCCGCCTAGGCGACAATTAGGCGACTAGTCCCACATTATATTATGTATAAATTATAATATATTACTAGTTAAATTGTACTACATATAGAACATAGAATTCAAACCCGCAATTGATAATTGAAAACAAGGTTAATTAATGGGATGTAAGAGTAAAAATGTATGTCTCAAATATTATGTAATTATATACGGAGTATATAATAATTTTTTTATTAGTCTAATAGTTTATTATTTTATAACATATAGTATATTAAATTATGTACAGAGCATATAAGCAGCTGAGTAGATGCCGCGTGTTTAATTGTTTATATAATAATACGTATAAAAGTATATACATACGCATATATTGCAGTTGTTATACTGTATGACCGGTATACGGTGCTCGCATACGGTTTTAGGCATCTTTGGAAGCTCCTCATGAAACATGTATTAAAATGATAGTGGGTCCTATTATTTATTTATTTCTCTTACTGTTAAAAACTCTAATAACTTTTTCATTTGTGATCTGGTTTTTATAAAATTTATATCAATTTTTTTTATTTTTCATGATCTTTCAAATGAGACCAATATTGCCTATGTAATTTTAACATATTATCGAACTATTATATTAACCTACGTAAAATATTACGTGTAGAAATATGTAACTCACGTCTGGTCAGGCCAAATGCAACTCGTGTGTATAAATATGTAACTCTACGTGTAAAAACATGTAACTTTACGTGTAAAAATATGTAACTCGCGTTCAGACAGGTCAAATACAACTCATGTGTATAAATATGTAACTCGCGTGTATAAATATGTAACTTTACGTGTAAAAATATGTAACTTTACGTGTAAAAATATGTAACTCGCGTTCAGGCAGGCCAAATGCAACTCATGTGTATAAATATGTAACTTTACGTGTACAAATATGTAACTTTACGTATAAAAATATGTAACTCACATGTATAAATTTATAAGACAATAAATTTTTATGAACTTCATATAATATCAAATGTAAACAATGAAAATAAGAAGTTTAATTGTTCAACTAATTTAAATTAAATATGTTTTAAAGAAAAATCATTTTTCCATATGGTATGTTTATTTTATTTGACCAATAAATGTGTTTATGTTATTTTTTATGGATAAAATTTTGTTCCTTCTCAATGTAAAGACAAATCCGCATGTGGACATGTATCATATTATGGCAGATCCCATACGGACTACATGAAAATTGGGTGGGGAGGAGGTAGTCTTTGGTTCTTTGCGTGGGGGAATTGAAAAGGAGAAAAAAAACGAAGCAGAAGCACCCAGCAGCAATGACGGAGAAGTAAGAAGACTCGCAGCTGGCCAAAGGATTGGAGAGGAGGATTTCGGATTGATTTTAATTAGCAAAACGGTGCCGTACCAGACCCGGTATACCATGCGCAGGGTATGCCGGTCGTACGGTATAATTTGCCCATATATTGATACATACACACATATATATACAACTTAAATACTTCATTAGTTAAAATATTAAAAAACTGAATTCACTATATGAGAAGAAAATTAGAAATCAGTGGCCTCTAGTCGCCTGCTTCAACGACGGACTGAGGAAGGGCGAGCCGGCGACTTCGGCTACGTGGAGTTCTTGGGTTCGTCTGCTTCGACTCTACGACTCTGCTACTTGAGTTAGATGATGATGGCAACGAAGTACCTAAGATTATTCTGGGCTTTATCTATTCTCAATTTCTTTTTTGGGTCTCGCCCTGCGGACGGCTGCTGGGCAAAACTAGGCGACGACTTGTCACCAAATTCACGCCTGGACGACGCCTAGATGACGCCAAGCTCGACTAATCTTCTTCCGGCGAGGCGAGGGTACCTGGCGAGCACTCCCTAGCACCAGGACGCCTAGTCGACGCCATGACAAGTATGGTTGGCCCCCAAGAAGAACAAACAGCAGGAGGAGGTCTGTTCTGAGACAGTGAAAGAGCAGCCTGCAGCTACTTCTGCTTCTATTGCTGGGGCTGACATGGGCCCTCCTCAAGGTGGGACTTCCACTTCTGAGCAAGCTCCCGTTGCCACCGCAGGTACCCTGTTTTTCTCTTAGTCTGACACTCTGTTTTGTTGCATGAATCTGTGGTGTCAGTGTCTTCATTGTGCTTTGTGTTTTTTCATCTGTACTGTTGTGCTTGACAGGTGGCTTAAACATCTTTGAGCTCCTCGACCTCGCTCAGGGGGCGTGAGGAGGAAGACTAAGCCCTCTGAGGGGGTGAAACAACCTGAGCCCTCCCCAAGTGGGTCCACATCCTCCTCTGGGGGTAGTGATGAAGATGGTGCTGGTGCCGCCCAGCTAGATGATGCTGTGACCAAAGAGAGTGGGGATAAAGAAGTCCCTAATGCCGCGGCATATGGTGGTGATGCCATAGTCAAATCCAATCCCGCGGCTCAAGATGGTGATGTTGCTGCGCTGGCCCATGTCGCGGCTGATGTAGGTGGGCACATGGGTGCTACTGAAGCCATCCAACAGCCCCATGCTAAGGCTGCTACTGCTGTCACTCCTCCCCACCCAGATGTGGTCATGGTGGAGAGTGAAGATGATGATGATGTTGATGATGCGGATTAAGAAATCATCCGGCAGCTTCAAGACCGCATATTCCAAGATCACCCCGACCCCAGAAGCGCTGCTACTGCCGGAAAGGGGCCTGGTCAGCCCTACATCCTCAAAGACTGGCCGTGGAAGCAGAAGTTCCAGTTCTATATGGATGGTGATGACAGCTTTGTTGTTGAAAGCATCAAGACTATGGACTTCTTAACTCTCCTATTCCCTCTCAAAGTAAGAATCTCACCCAAGAAAAGTATAGAAGCCAAGAGAATCTCTGGAAATTGGAAATAATATTCATTCATCTCTCTTTTGGGTTACAACAGGGATGTATATATAATAACGACACTACTTAACTGACTCCCTACAACACTGGGCACTAACCCATGACTGATTTCCACTACTTAACCAACTAAATAATAATGATGATGATGATATAATAATAATAATAGTAATAATAATAATAATTAAATAGACTCAATATTAATTTAATCACTCCTAATTTTACGCCTATGGTATGTAATCCATGGTTTAGGAATTGTATCAATTAGCTATTACAATGAGAGTCGTGTACAGTGTGCGTAACAGACATTTAAGTCATTAACTACTAAACATATTATTCCAAATTAAGCATTAATAAAGAGAACTCATAATTCCTATAAAAGGAGTTCGCAGAGCATAAATTATTCTGGTACATAATTACTACATATCATACTCGAAATTTGTAGGGCATATTTCCAACACACCCCCTTCACAAAGAGTATATGCACTCGTTCCATGACATGCACTACAAACAGCCTAAGAGACTAATGACTTATTAAATTTCCTAAGAAGAGCTGCCTCCCCATTTTATGGGGATCAGGATAAAGTGAGGGAGGGAGTGCACATGACAGCGGGTGTGAAAACAAAGCTTTAATTGTTCTTGAATAATATGATTTTATTGCATTTGGTAATAATAAGTGTTATGTTTCCTGTGCTAAATCGTTAAGAACACTAATGTCTTTTTACAGTTATTTTTGTTGTAGTCAATCAATATACACGAAGCAGTTTGAGTACAATGCTTGCTCACTCAGAGTTAGTTGAGCATTCTTGGCCATGGGCTTATCCAGTTCTGTGCATTTCATGTGGTTATTTTGCTTATGATCAATGGGATATGTTGCTTTACCATTTACACAGTGGCTGGATTCCTTCAATCCTGGTACATCATCTCGTGCTTCTTGTTTGCTTTACCGCGGCGTTGTATCGGAATGTGACAATCAATTATCTTATCCTCACTCTTGTTTGTGAGGTATGCTTCCTGTTGGTTTCTTCGGTTCTCCCCAAGTAATAATATTATACCATTACAGATTTATATGCATTTTATTAATTCAATACTATAATTACAATTTGGTTCATGAGTCCGTGTTTACATATGCAAATACTAATAATAAAAATATAGACTGACTTTTGGGTTATGCCTTTAAAATATGTCGGCAGTTTTGTGCGTGGTTTTTGTATACATGTCTGCAAAAGAGGCAAGTTTTGGAGCGTGCCACATACTGAGGCATATAAAATAGGTACTTGAGGCTTACGCCTCTATTGCAATTAATTGCAATTAAGAGTCTTATGCTTCAAATAGTTGAGGCGTACGCCTTAAGTCGGTTTTTGAGGCAGTTTTTTACTATCATACTGTCAATTTATTAGGCTCAGGGAGTGTATTTTGTCTGAAATTGATAAAATCCATTTCCCAAATGTTCTACTGTTCTCTTCTTCAAACAACTTCGTCTATTTTTTCTTTTTTAATTGAACAATAACAATAGCCGACAACTTTTTTAGATTCAAATTGGTTTGGAGTTTTGATCGCACGATGAATGGGGAAGAGTTGAAAACACAACTAGCTAACTCTACATTCATTCATTCATTCATTCATCCCTATTAGAGTACAACATTTTCTAACTTTTTTTAATAAGCCTGAAATCAACTTATTGTGACATCTCTCTATCAAGTAATGTCAAACTAACACATCTGGATGCCATCAATGAACTACTTAGCTACATGCCCACCTCTTCGTTTCACCGTACTCTACCAATGACCAAGAACAAAGCTGGCCAGGATATCTAAATTGGTGCCCATCTTTAGCATAATCTATTTCCTATTATTAGCATTTCTATTTACATAATTTCTATTAGCATTTTTTGTGTACAATAGTTTTAGAGCTCTCTCATCTTTTAAGATTGATTGAAATAAGAAATCATCTTACTGAGTAATTATTCTCGTTTAGACATATTGTGTATGGGGCAACCTTATCCTTGCCTACTTTGGGAAGGTAGGAAGTTTGGATTTTTACTCTAATCACCATAGGCCGTAGCTTTTCAACATTGTCTTCATCTCCCAACCACATTGGTAACAATTAAAACTGTAATGAGTAGAAAACTTAATGTAAATTGAAATACTATAATAGGAAATAAATGATACTAGACTTGAGCAGGTTAGATAGCTTGGTCAGCTTTCTTCTTGGTCGTTAGTAGACTCCACCGGTAGCGTGTGAGCGTGACTTTGACGTCACTCCCATCGTCAAAGAGCTTGTCCTCAAGCTCATAGTCAGGAAAAGTGTTACGAAATATAGTTGAGGTCCTCCTAGGTTGCCTTTTCTTTCAACTTGCGAGTCAAATGCTATGTGAGCTCACACGGGCAGGCGGCAGCGGTTTGGTGTTGCTAGCATAAAACAACCAGCACCGCTACTACTACTATCTGTTTTAATAGGCAACTAGGCATAAATATTTGCAAAATAATTTATGTGTTTTTTGTTACACTATTTTCTTATCAGTCCCTTGATGTGGATGAGAAAAGCCTACTACATCTATGATTGTTATTATTGTTAGTATTAGCTTTGTATCATTATTATTAATTGTAGTTTTGTATTAGCATATGTCTTCCATTTAACTAATATTCTTAATAGAAGTGTTGTAATAGGTATAGGTTTACTCTAATACTGGTCCAAGACTCTTCGGATTAGTATAAATGTGTATTTTTAATTAAAAATGTCACCAATCTTTTGGAGTAAACTTTCTTGTGCGTTCTGTGGAACTAACAGGCACTTCCTTGTGAGGCGGGAAGCTGAGTTATTTTCCCAATCATCATACTTTTCAATCTTTTTCTTTTCATCTCCCAACCACGCACTGATACACACAACAGTTTGGCTTCCTGCCAGAAAAAGGTAAGAAAGGTAGTGAACTCCTGTCAAGAGTATGAACAAAACTGGAAAAGAGTTCTGTAGGGTTGAAGCTCACTGCTCATATGCCACAATCATCTACGGAGTACTATTTTTTCCCTAAGTACAAATTTCCAGAAGCCATGACCGGCATCACACCACAATCATCCTTTTATTATTCCTAAAGTTGAGTTCATTCCTGAGGGCCCCCAGAAACGTACTAAGTAGTTAAATCACTACTTGGTGTCAACTCAGTTAAGGGTCAAGCAACGATTAACACCGATTACTCGGTCATGTATTAATTAAAGTAAAAAACATAAATCCCCAAAATTCTAGTAATATATTACTCCCTCCGTCCCACTAAGAATGGGACAATTCGGTTTACGATGCTTGATCGACGATAAAGCAAACAGATCCCTGTCCGCACTCAATTTTTTTTTTTAAAATTACATTTTTACAAACTACATTAAAAACTTTACAAAGTCGCAAAAACCAGAATCAAATTCGATAAAAATTTGATATACAAAGTAAGAGATTAAGAGTGATTTGTGTTGATCAAGTGAATAAGAACAGGGACAATCTTAACGGGACGGAGGTAGTATCTTATAATTCTTTAATATGAATAAAATAATAAGGGAGAACTATCAAATAAGCCCTCGAACTTTCATAAAAAATGCAAATAAGTCCTTTTATATGAGGCTCTGTCCGGCCGTCGCCATTTGGGGAGGTTTACGGTGGAATTTTTTGATGGAATTTTTTGAGCATCTTCTTCATTAAGTCTAGTTTACGCATACCAAATTTCAGCTAAACATTCAATCGGGAAGGAAGTCAAATGAATTTTTGAAGATAACTGCGCAGTTAGGCAACACAGTATATATCTCCCAAATATACTAATAATCCCAACAATCATAAACATTCAAAATTCCTCATTGGGTTTAAGGTCGTCATTTTCTCCTTTATTCTCCACATCCCTAAACCTAGACTGACTTTATAATCTTATTTTTCAATTTTTAAAATACCTATTGGATATTCATGTGCTCCATAATATCCCAATTTAGTTTAAATTTTCAAATTTTAACCCCAAAAAAACAATTTTACTGGCCGTCGAGTAACTCAGCGAGTCAACCTTGTCACCCAGTAGTAAAAATCGCCGAGTACTCACGGAGCTACACGGAAAATGGAACAATGCGACTTGGATACTACTCAACAAGACCCTATCCCGAGTAGCAAGTACACGGTGATTAGATAACACAACTTCTGTAGTTCTTAGGATAAATCAATCCATAGTTTTCAGTTTATCTTTTCCTAGTTTTCCAGCGTGATTGTGCATTTTCAAGCACGAGTGCGTTTTCCGGCGACTATATATCTTTTGAAGCCTTTCACGTAGTGCGTTTTCAAAATCAAGCCTACCGCCCATCTTATTCTCTTAGAACGCCAACGCAACCTACCATCACAAATCTCGCCCTAAAAAATCTTCCTATGTGCCGCCGAAGGTAAAAAGTTCAACACCGCCTATTCCAGAAGAAAGCATCATTTGACGACCCCCTCTAGAAATTTTGGCGTCATTCCGCCACCGCCGGAATATCACGCGTTCTGGACCTTGGCTACTTTCTTTACTAAATAGTCACTATTTTGACATCCCCAGTTGTACTCTCACACTGTGAATTTGATCAACAATAGCCATGACATCCAAGTCTTAGTCCCAAAAGATTTTGGGGTCGGTTAACATGAATTGATACATGTCGGAACCAAAAGAAAAAGAAACTTAAAAAGATAAGGTATGATAAAAACGATAATAGAAAAAAAAGATAAAATTGAGATAAGATATACATAAAAATGATAAGATAAAAAAGATAAAAAAGAATATATATATATATATATATATATATATATATATATATATAAAGGATAACAAAATTATGAAAACCCACATGATGAAGAAAGTAGGGCCTTTAGGCGCATTAAAAAAATTTATTTGACAGATGAGCGTGTTTATAAGGTTGCTAAACTTGTGGCCACGATAGGAGATAGGGAGACAGTGATGTTCAATTGAATTGTCTGGTCTACCTCGGGAGATAGTGGGAACTATTCAGTTTGATGCCAAGGAAATTCCATATGTCTATGGATAGTTGTTTTTTGTTCTTTAACGTTTGTATGGAGATTTTATCATTTGCTTGGTTAGCTTTTTCGTTTGCGATTGTAACGTTTACCTTGCACTTACTGCTTGTATTTGTTTTTTCATGTATCTTAGGGTGATATGCCACCCTAGAGAGAAGGATGACACCCCATCCCTGAGCCCCCCAACCCCGATCGGACGGTACGTTGGGAGGATGTAAATTGGACTATAATCCCAATCTGACAGATAGAGAGCGGGGCTCTGTCCCCGGTACTTGCAGAGGCCCCATGCATATTTTAGCATAGTAACCTCTCATCGCAGTTGCCGGGATTCGAACCCGGGACCTAACCCTTGTGGCACTCCCTCGCTACCAGTTGAGCTACGCCCATCGATATATGCCACCCTAGAGAGGTTTTGGCTTTATGCCCCCCCCCCCCCTCTCATTCTCTTAATACATTTTTTAGTTAATAAAACACCGGTAGATGTTCCCCGACATCTACCCTACTGATTTTGGTGGTTTGCTTATCAAGTTCTAAAATAAAATAAAATAAAATAAAATAAAAGGATAAAAGGATAATAAACATAAGACATATAAAGAAGATAAAGGGAAAAAGATTATAAGAGATCAATCCGTCACATGATTACCCGCCCTCCACTTTACTCTCTCCAAATCCATGCTCTCATTCAATCCAAGAAGCATACCACTCCGGACTTCTCTAATCCACGTATATTTGGGTCTTCCTCTCCTTCTCCTCCCCGCATCTTTTCCACACCTCTCAATTCCTCTAACGGGTGCATCACTCGGTCTTACCGAAGTGTGTCCAGAGCTTATGTTTCAAACACTTCCCAATCTGTGGATCCTTGATTCATGTGTCTTTGATCATGTCTTTGGTAATTCCTATCTTTTATCAAATTTATCTAAACTTTCACATTTATCGCATATTACCCTGGTTAATGGATATCAAGCTTCGGCTATGAGAATAGGTCAAGCTCTTCCACAATCATCCTTACCCTTAGAAAATGTCGTGTTTGTTCCAAACAACCTATTTAATCTTGTATCTATCAGCATGATTAGTTGATCTCTCATTTGCCGTATAGCCCTCTCATCTGTTTCTGTGGTTGTGTAGAATTGTTGTATGGGAAA